CTGCTGCAGCCTCTCCCATACCCACCCCCATACCACCCTGAACAAGATCACCAGACTAATAGTTGCTTTCCCATCCTCAAACTCTAATGCCTTCTTCCTGTCTACAACACAAAGTCAAATATCCTAGGCCTATTAGGTAAGACACTTCAAAAGATATTCCTCTTTGCCATACATATATCCTTCCTTAGTTCCAGTTTCCTCACTTCTCCCACACCTCTTCTATACCTAGTCTTCCTATTCCTTATTCTTGGCTCTCAACCCAAGACCTCATTGTTTCCTACCTCATGGAACCTAGAGAATTAAGAGTATCTTGGTACACAATCCAATATTGCATTACATTATTAAGTAAATCAATATAATACTTGATCATAACATAATGAAATTGAGTCTCACTTACTTCACTCTAAGTCAATACCAAATTTCATATTATTAAATAAGAGTCCAGACTGGTGACTGTGGGCAAGATTTAGCTTCAGACCAACGTTATGTGGCCATAGAGCCTTCTGTCACTATAGATGTGAATTTGAAGAATTTGAATGCCTTGCAGGAGGTAGAGGGGATGAAGTTACACTGTCCATTTCACCCTAGTCTCTGTTACTCACCATTATTTCAAACCCCACTGTTTGTGATAGTCATAAATCCTGCCTGGTCCTGAAAGCATTGGGGTTTGTATCATCTTTTGAAAGTCACACTTGAAATATCTCATTGACTTAGTAAGTCCAGAGACTCCAGGAGGGCATAGGTTGTAACGTACACATGCCACAGGGCACAGTACAACACTGAACACATAGTAGGAGCTTAATAAATAAAAATTGAATGATTCTATGCAAGGCTATGGAATCAATTCAGTTCATTGTCAGGGCTGGGAGACTGCATGACTCAGTGAACAAAGGATGCCATCGTTCGCCTGTGTTGAACTTCCCTATGCACTGACAAGTGAGCTTTCATGATGAGGAGCTCTCACCAGGAATCCAGCAATGACATCTATTACACACAGTCTGTTCCTGGAAGTCACCCCACTAGGTAGGTGTGATAATTATCTCAGTTCAAGATACCAATTTCAGTGTCAGTTCCTGGAGGAAAAGGAACAGGGATATTTATTTTGGGGCTGGAGGGGTTGGCTTCCTAAAAATACTATTACAAACATAATATTCCAATGAAAAGACCTTAGAGCAGAAAGCATCTCTTGTTGGCCTAAACAAGAAGTGGTTAACCTCATTCCAACTTTTGTCAAGAGACCTTAGTTGCCCAGTCTTTCTACTGAAATGCTCTGAGTTCATTTTTTTTCAAACTCCTTAGGTTGCATTATCCAGCATGCAGCAGCCTCAGGGACAATCAGGACACACCTAAGGGGTAGCAGAAAGTAGTAGAAAGAACATGAAATTTGCAGACAAGATAGACCAGTGTGTGGAAATTGGCTTTGATACTCAACAGCTTTTCTGAGCCTCAGTGTCCTTAGCAAAAACAAAAAGGGGGTTGGGGGGAACGCTTTGCTCAAATAATTAAATGAGATGAGAATAATAACCGCTGACACTGACTGAGTGCTTATTTTGTGCCAGGCACTGATTTAAAGTGCTTTAAATGTGTTAGCTCATTTACTTATGACATTATTAAGTAGAAACTATTATTGCCTCCATTTCACACAGAAGGACACTGAGGCACAAAGAGGTTCTTATCTGCAAGGTCACTAGGCCAGAAGTGGCAAAATCAGGATTCAAATCTATGTGCTCTCACTCCCCAGCCCTCAGTCTTAATACCTACACTATTCTGCCCTTGACAAGCACTTGATCCAGCACCGGGCAAACTGGGACGCTAAACAAAGGAATAAAAAACCAAGAGAAAAAGATGGGACAGGAAAAATGAAAAACCCTGTATTCCATTTCTTTACTGGGATTCATGGTCTCCCAAAGTTAGATGGCAAAATCTTTAAAAGCTGTGGTTCTCCCAAGCCCCACGTTACCCTTGTCCTGGCCTCCCCTGTGGAAGAGCCTAGGATATATCACCCTGCACCCATTCAGGCCAAGCAGGACGTGCAGTAACATACCTTGGATGGTTGAAAAGCAGCTCCAACCAATCACAAAGCAAAGGCCCGAGACCCCCACGTGTATTTCAACCCTCTTACCTCAGAGCAGACTCTCTGCCTTGCCAGATGTCTCCTTGTCCCTCCTCGTTACCAGGTCCTGATCCTGGTGACTCAGCAGCCTAGAAGTCCCCAAAGCTCTTTCACCATTTCCGGGGCAGGCCATGGTGGCCCTCAGGGCTGCTGTCTGAGCTCCTGGTGTCGATGTGAAGATTAGCCCCCCATCCCATACAACCCTCCCACCTATAAACCCAGCCATGCACCGTGCAGTATTCTGTCTGTCCTATTGGCCTGCATGACCTTGAAAAGGAAGCAAAGCTGTGGTCACCACAGAGCCACAAAGAGCAAATGAGCCCAGAAGGTGATTATTCTGGGTAGGTGAAGAGGGTTGACATTATTCCCTTGGGGGCCGTGGAATAGTTTACAGATAAGAAAAACACATAGTTATAGGGGTGCGGGAGGACCACTCTACAAGATACAGTATCCCAAGGGGAAATTTCAGATTGGGAGCTCCTCACTCTGCTGAAGAGGCTCCACCAACCCAGCCATCTGCACCAAAGAAAAGTTCCTATCCTAGGCATGACCCTGTATTTGCCAAATTGCCTAGTTCTGAAGGGGAAACTAAGCATGGGCTCTTTTCTCTGACAAGCAAAGTAACTGTTGCTGCCCCTAGACCCTGTGTGGAGCAGTCAGTGGGAGCAGACTGGAGGGGCCAGAGGGCTGCAGCTCTTCTCACTGAGAGCAGGGTTCCCAGCACAGGGGAGGAGGGGAAGGGGCTCTCTCCAAGACCTGCACGTCCCCAAGGACTGCTGGGGTGGGTCAGCTATTCAGGGAAGGATAGAGGTCCCATCAAGTGGTGCCAGTAAATTCACTGGTCCCACGTGGACTAGAGGGCATGGCCTTTTCTTGGGCTGCCCTCAAAGAGGCCTGAGGGCTCCTTTAATGGAGTTGAGGAGAGTCATGGCCATTATTAGGAGTGGCCAGGCATTCAGGTGCTACACTGTACTTGCACATATAACCCATCAATCCCCTCCAATTATACACTTAAAACCAAGCATCTTTTTTAATGCTATAAACATAACATACACACCCTCAGTTTTTACATCGTTTTTATAACTTAGGGTCTATAGGCTTCAACAAACTTTGGGTTTGGAAAGCCCAGGCCCCACAAAGGACATTTTCCCAGGAGCCTCTGCAGACCCAAAACTCAAGACATGCTCATAAAAGCAAGGTCCAGGTTTTGATGGCTCTGCAACTGAGGAAATCCACTGAAGCACTTGCACCTGAAGCAAGACAGGTGACAATTTGTATTATGTTTAATGACACAGATCTTCCTGAAGTAATCTGAATCCCAAGAGGTCACATAATCATTCACATTATTGTATACTCTAAAAGCAAAATACCTCAACTGCAATCCTAGCCCCAATGATTCCTCAAAACTGAAATAGTTCCCTGAGAAATAAAAAGGTAAAATAGGAAGAATTTAAACTATAGAATTAGCAGATCAGAAAGTGAGAAAAAGGCAGATTGATTTGTGAAAGAAAAAAAAATTTAAGATTGGGAATTTCAGATCTTAACCCTAAATTGAATTGAGTTATGCTCACACCTTTTAAAAAAATACTGTACAGTGAATGCCACAGTGTATATCTGCGAATAAATGACATAGGATGCTAATTCAAAAGAACTGATTTCCTTCAGCTGTTTATATCCTTCTTTATAAGTGGCCCTTTTCTGAAAATTATATCATAGTCTTCATGTAATACAGGTTGTTTTTGGTTAACTACTTAGATGTCAAAATAACAAATTGATGACTATAGTTTCAGACACACCAGAACATATAAGCAGGTATAATTTAAGCATGTTGTTGATTTTCCAAATGTTGAGTGCTTGCTGTAATATATACTTTTATTTGGCTGAAATTCTGAGGAAAGGATAAATTAGTTTTATTTCACTGTTTTTGTTTTTGGAGGCTCTCCTAATTTACCTAACAAACCAATTCTTGTGGTCATAATGAGAAAGGAAAAGATTCTCACTGAATCTTGTACAAACTAAGAGTTTTAGGGTAAAGTAGAAGAAAATGCACCAGTTATGGAAGACAGTGGTTTCCTGTCTCAGGCCCCCTCTTCTCTGGGTCTGTACCCACAAAGATAAATGCTCCCCTAGTCCCATTTCATCCCATCTCCAACCCCTTCATGCTCCCATTAACAGTGTAAGCATTACATAAAGGCACCCTTCTACCTAATTTTAAGTCCAGTTTTGGCAGTCATATTTGCAAAGCCTATTTACTTAAAGTCATTGTTTCAGAGATATATTTGAGGAAGGTTTTGCTTATCATATAAATTTATTAAGAATTGCTGGGAAAGAAAGAAGGGGTAGGTGACAGAAGGAGTAGTTTGAACTGCAGTCCAAAGAAATTAGCCTCCTCTTACAAACAGATCATAAAAATTGAACTTTGAAGCAAGATCTGAGTTCTCCAGATCTGATGCCCCCTCTTCCTAGATTTTCAGTGGACTTCACGTAAACCAAGCTTAATAATAAAAAACAGATTTACCAAAGAGAGAAAATCAGGTTGACAGTCTTTTCCTGAGGGATTTATGAGTTATTCCTCTAAATAACAGCTCTCTCTGGCTCATGTAAAATTTAAGTTGATTTAGAAGGAAAAAAAAGAAAGAAAGAGGTGAAGGTGACAGGATGAGGAATGATGAGGAAGGAAGAAAACAAAAACAGAACTTTTCAAGAACTCATCCACTGCCAAAAATGAGGAACACCTAAAAGGTATCTTGACATTTTCAGTAGAATTCTAAGAAGTGCTTTCCTAATGAAAAAGCACCTGCCACCCAACTATTGTTATTTTCTATTTCAAACTCAAAACAAACACACAAACATATTAAAACACAAATTTTCCACCTTGACAAGAAAATATGAGCCCCAAACAGCAAACGCTTTAATCAACAACTCTTACCTGGGTACAAAGGACTAATGCAGGGTTTGGTTTAAAGGGGGGTTAGACACTGGTGATTAGATACACGAAACAAAAATTGCTTTTTAGTATACGTCTGCTGCCTCCTCTTAGGATGTGCTGGTGACCTGATGAGTGAATTCTTCACGATGTTCCTCCAGCTTCCATTCAGTTTCCCCTGTGAAATTGAAATTTCACATACAAATGTGGCACTGAGAGAGAGGCAAACAACCAACACTCCCATGGAGAGGATGATGGCTTCACTCCATACTGACCTTGGCATGAAGCTCTACCTGGACATCACTTGGCCTCCAGCCCCTTCTCCTACTATGCCAGGGCAGAGGAAGGCATTATGAGATTAGCATGGCAAAGCAGCTGTGTGGTGGGCAGGTTACCTGACCTCTTGCATAAATTCAGGATGATGATAAGCTGAGTATCTACTCATTCATGTTATTTTGAGTAGTACAGTCCTTGGCACACAGTAAATGTGCAGTAACTGCTATGCATTATTGAGCTGAACTGTTAAACATGTTCCAATCAATTCTATTCTATGGAGCAATTGTATTCGAGCATGGTGGGGAGGGTCGGTATATGATCAGGGGGTGTTTCAAGTCTCCCATCTTCAAGGCACTCACGCCCCTACCTCAGAGATTCTCAAGTCTAAAAGTGCATCAGAATATTTTGAAGAACCTTTATATAAACATCGATACCAGATACCGCCCTCAGAGATTCCAGGTAAACTGTTCTGGAGCATGACCCAAACATCAGTATTATCCACAGGCCCTCAGGTGATTCCAACGCTCAGTGAGAGAATTTGTCCTGTGATTCGGGTACACAGTCACTGTCTGTGCGGTCTACTGGACTCTGACAGGACCAGGAGCTCTTAGGATGGAGGGAGGTGCATTGTTATTCATTGAGTCAATCCCTACAAGCCACCAAATGACAAATCCTTCAGAAGCTAGTGACCAAATCAGAAAGGGAGGACTCCCAAGGTCAGAGCTGGGCAACTGGAGACTGGTTTGCTTTTTGCTTTGGTTGTAACAGAGCTGAAAGGGCCCCTATGAAAAGTAAAATGGTTCCTGATTGCCCAGTGGAGACAGGTGAGGTTGGAAGCCATGCCAGCCACTATCTCAGAAGCTGGAGGCCTAATAAGCTATGACAGAATCAAAGACTAGCATTTTAATTAATTTTTATCCTTTTTTCCTTTTCGTGGCTTATCTCCTTTTCGTTATTCTTTAATTTTAGAAAAGTTTTGTGCTACAATTCCTACCTGTGTCTCAACTCCTTGCTCACCCTCTGGTTGGGAGCACAGCAAGTGGAAGAGCTGCTGCTGCAGGCCAGCCACGGTGGCAGAAGTTGGGGTCCCAGGGAGCTGCTCCAGAAATGGAACACTCAGTGGGCAAGGGTTAGTGCCACTGATCAGTCTCCCTTCTGTTCACAGAGACCTCCCTTCCTGTCCTCTGCCCCCTTCTCAGGAGGGTTTTCCTAAGGAAAACCAACTATAATACAAGGCTGAAGGAATGAAGCACTATGTGGAGAAGCAGGAGGCAGAGGGCCTGAGGCTGCTGAGGGACCAGCAGGCTCATGGAGGAGGGCCTTGGAGGTGGGATCTCAGTGAGCGCACACCAGCAGGGGCGACTGACTCACACACTCGCCAAGAACGTGACACAGAAGCAGTCATGCCTTCCAAGAGAACTAGGGATAATCTGTTTCAGGATTTATGGTGTGTGTGTGTTTGTTTTTATGGGAGTTCTTTTGTGGCAAAATCCACACAACATAAAATTCACCATTTTAAAGTGTATACGGTGTAATCTGTTTTGTACCAAAAGTGCCAAGTCCAGAATACAGAGAAATAGATGACTCCAGCCCCTTCTACCCATTTCTTCCACCCATTCTGTTTTCAGATAGCTGGACTCTTTGTTTTTCGTCCAAGAATCCCTGACCTTTATCTGGTAAAAATATACTTTTCATTTCCCTGTATCTTGAGAGCAATAGGAAACCAGGAGGGAAAGCTGATCAACAGTGACAGAGCCAAAACGGAGGAGGGAAAGGGCCAGAACTGGTGCGATGGGCAGGAGAGTCCTTGCAAAAGGCAGGGCAGGGCACATGAACTGGAAACCCACTGCTCCTCCTGGGGACTGTCTTCCCGACCCATCAGGGTGACTCTGTGTCCCATTTTACATCTTGCTTGTTTTGTATCTTCCCTGGATTCACTGAGATATTAAGCCTAATAAATGCTCTGTTTTAAGATGAGCCAAGGTCACCTGTGTTGTTTCTTTTTTTTACAACCATGAAAATTTTCACTAACACAGCCCTCCAAGACCCCCGCCTCACCAGAAATCCATGGCCCAAGGAGTGGAATTGGGGAGTGGATGGTATGGAGAACTTCCAGAGAAGCATATTCCAAACCACTGGATGGACTTGTGTTATGAAGGAAACCCATTTTCTAAGGTAATCTACTTTTCTTTTTTTTTTTTTTACTTACCTTCTCTCTAGCCCCTCACGCCAATGTCACACATCACCTGGTTCAGGGCTTTATGTAACTCGATGCTACCCATGTTAAAATTCAGTACAATTTGGCATTTGGTAATTATGTGTGCCATGTTCCTTAAGTGGTAATTATGTGAGCCATGTTCCAAATAACCACCTAATAAATGCCTAGATGACTATTTTGGCAACCAGAGGTGAAGTGGCCCAGAATTCATCCTTTAATCTACCAAGCAGAACATCCTAAGGTAGAAGCCTGCAAAATGGGCAATTACTGAGCTGTTCTCCACATTCCTCAGTGCTGAAGGCGGGGAGTCCTGGCCAGCCCAAGGGCAAAGCAACCTGCGCCCGAGAGCACAAATAACCCTCACACTAGACTTTCAGGAACCCAACTGCAGCAAAGAGCTGGCATGTCATCCACACTTCTGTTTAAAATACTGTTTAAAAATATTCACAATTATTTTGATGTTGCTAGACTGAGAGACTACATAATACACCATAGGATCCTCACAGGTGGCATTCAAGGACAATGTCCACAAACCCTGCTTGAGTTCCAAAGGGCTCTGCTCTTTCTCCCCAGAGTTCTCCTGTCACACATTCTAGGTTTAGAGAAGGAACAGAATGTTAAAGCATGGTTTCTGGACTCAGGCTACCCAGGTGTACATTCCTAGCTGTCCCATTCTCTGGCCATGTGAGCAAGGCACCTAACTGCCCCATGCCTCAATTTTCCTATCTGTAAAATGGAACTGATGATAATACCTCCTTCATAGGGTTGCTGTGAGAATTAAGTATTAACTTATTTAATACACATGAAGTATCTGGGCCAGTTTCTGATACTCAGAAGTACTTAATAAGAAATAACTATTATTATTCTGAGCTGGGTAGGAAGGGAAAAGAAGAAAATACCTGAAAAATGATGACATTCCCACAGTGTAGCCAACCACTTACCACATGTCTGAATTCTAGAGTTGCCTAGTCACTTCATTAAACATTCACTCATTAAAAATATTTACTGAGCACCAACCACAGTGGAAGGTTATCTTATGCAAGGATGGTTGCAGGGTGGTGCGGGAGTTAGGTCTTGTTCAGGGCACATGCCTTGCATGTGCAGTTGACTTAGCACCTGAGTTAAATGGGATTCCACAGTAGAAGGCCAAGTGCTGACTGTAAAACAGTGAGCAAGGGAGACAGAGTCCCTAACCTCAGGAAAGTTTTTCATTCAAGAAGAAGGGACAGACTTTAAACAATCAACCCATATAAAAATATAACAAACTGTGTCATACTTAATGAAAGAAAAGTGTAGGGTGCTAAAAGGGCATACCTTGGGGGGAAGGGAGTGTCATGAAACCTGAGGATAAATACAAGTGACCCAAGCATGGTCAGGAAGGAAAGACAGAGCCAAGACGTGCAAAGGCCCCACATAAGGAAAGAGCTTGTGTTCAAGAAGCTGAAAAAGGGCCCACAAGATAAGGAGAGATCGGGGACCCACACATGTGCTGTCATTATTATACTATGTGAAGGAAGAATGTGGTTCTTAGGTCTCCATGTCCCCTGTCCATGACTTTTCCTAGTTACCTCATTTTGACAGCAGGAAACTGAAATTATGTTAGCAAACAAGATAAGAAGCATAAGCTGCTTACTTAGATAAGAGAGCAGTTTAAAAATATCTCTGTTCAGGCACTGGGTATTTCTTCAAAGTAGCTTGGACTATCAAGGATATAATTTACTTCAGAGACAGAATCTTCCTTTAACAAAAACAAATCCAGCCATTACATTACTCATAATGTAATTCAGCTCAATGATAACTGGATGTAAGTTTGCTTTTATGAAGTCTATGTATCCCACGTATGCCATATACGTGGTGTTCACTATATATGTGTACATAGATACCCTTCCTTTCTTCTCTCTTTTTCCCTCCTTCCTTCCTCTCCTTCCCACTACGTCTCTTTCTCTCTTCCTTCCTTCTTTTCTTTTTATACTTTAAAGATATTCCCTTACTTGAAAAGATTGGGAATTAACAAAGCAAAGCCAATGACTTTGTCAAGAGGAAGTAAGTAATTCACTACCCCCTACAGTTAGAGTAATGAATTCATACATGTCATCCTATAAATTTAGGATATGCCAGTATTTACACAAGATGATCAATTCAACTACAACATGGTATGATTGAATCAAACCAGTGGGAACAGCTCTGTTCAAATCTGTTGTTTGAATTCTTGCGAAATGGTGACAGGTCCCTTAGCTAACAGCTGTACATCAGCACTAGACAAAGTACTGGGGTAGCTATCTGAAGACCAGAAACACTCCCCACACCCATTAAAGTCAAACAGCCTAAACATCTTATTAACTTGTAGGAAACTTCCTTTATTCCTGTGGCCTTACGCAGACTACACGCACTGCCCTGAATTCCTCCCTGGACTGGGATGCCTGAGCACTGTGGAAGGGACTGTGCTTCAGGCCAGTTAGGCTCTCTTCTCTCATCCTTTGGAAGGACCATGCTCCCTCTCACTGCAGGCCCTCTGCTTGATGCACGCCGTGCTCCAAATTACCTACCACTCATTGCTCAAATCAAAGTTCCACTGTCTCTTGCTCAGGGAAGCCTGGCTAACTTCCAACCAAGTCAAATACCCCCTTTCATACACTCTCAGGACACCATGTACCCTCCTTGATAAGCATCACAAATGTATTTCTGTGGTTACTAGATTAATGTCTGTCTCCCCATGATAGACTGTAAGTCCCAGGTACCATATTATTTGGTCAGCAAAGATTTAGTTTTATCAGAAGGTCTAACCTTGTTTAAGTGTTGCTGGGCTCTGTAGGATATCAAAAGTCTGCATACCCTTTCGTGGATCTTCTTCCATGTGGACTGAGAACTACTACGGTAGAAGCTGTTCAACACATGAAACAGGGTGTAGTATTATGAGTTACTAAAAAGGATAGTGAGAGTACAGTACAGTGTGGGTTGATATTTACAAGTTAATAGTAAGAAAAAAGTAGCAACATGCAAAACAGCATACATAGTGTGGTTTCAATGTCTTTAGTAAACCTATGCATAAGAACCACATTGGGGAATAAAAACAACCGAGATGTTGAGAATGCTTTGCATTTTGATGTGTGGCTATGATTGATTCTTTCCTTCTTTGTACTTTAGTGCATATTTCGGATGTTTCTCTAAAGAACAAATCCTGTTTTTATATTTAAAAACAACCCAAAAACGTTTAATATAAAATTTAATCCCAATTATTTTCCACCATGAGGATTTTATTTTTTATTTCATTCGCTTAGGCCACCCAGACCCAAACTTAATGACAGGTCTTACAGTGTCGACAGTTGCTCACACATGAAGCATTTTCTCCCTTCCACAGCCATTTGTTGATGCTGCTCCCGCTGCCACCCAAGCACCCAACTCCCACCTACCCTACAGAGCTCAGTTTAGTGACTGACTTTCCAGGAAGGTCCTTCCTAAGTCCCCACTTAGAGAGAAAGTCAGCATCCCTATTTACACACTTGGAGTCCATTTACCCCTCATTCATAGCCACTTGCCCTGATGGACATTTTGTCATTATTTGGTTAATGTTTTTGTCTATCCCTACACTGAAATTGGGACTTAGACTCTGAGTTTAATAGTTCATCCCAGGGTCTCATAGGTATTTAACAACTATTTCTTCAGTGATTGAATTCATCCATCCATTCATTTATTTTCAGGAGGGGAATAGGTACCAGTTCCTAAACTCAAAGGCAGAATTAGCAATTTGATTATGAAAAGCACAGATACTGTTTTTTAAAATGCCTAAAGAATTTTAGCAAGTTGGATAAAATTATTCTCCTTAATTAATGTACAATAAACATTGGAAATGACAGGAACATTTGGGAATCAATCCAGTTGTTATTATGGCCACAACACTAATTATCCCCTGTGTTGTTACAGCTCTCCCTGTAACAGGCATGTACCACTGGTTTCCAGGGAGACAAGGCCAAGAGCATGACTGGGTTTATCCCATCCACTACCACCTCAGCCAATGAGAGCACCACCTAAAACACTGTCCATGTGTAAGAATACACCAGGCACATCACTTCCGTACACCTCTAAGAATTTTTAAGAGAAGGAATGGAAATATTTTGAGACCATAAATAAAGCTTTTAAAAATAGCAATCAGCTGAACACTGTAAATGCTTTTTCATAGATCTTGAGGAACCAGTGCCACACAATTACTACATTTGTTACCATTATTATTATACACAATAACTTCATTTGAAGCTCTGTGAGACTGCTGAGTGAGCAGGCGGGCGCATCGTGCACCATTATTATCACCTTCTCGTGCAACGAGAGAGTGAGGATGTGCGCTGAAGGGCAGGGATGCTATCTAAATGGCAGACAGGGAATAGCCTCAAGAGTGTTCCTCCCTCCTTTGGGACTACCCTTTCACCATACTAGTTAGAAGGGTTTTCCACATCACCTTTGGGACTATCCTTCTTCATACTACTAGTTAAAAAGTGTTTTGGACTGATTCTCCCTCCAAAAATTTTTTTATTAAGGTATCAATGATAGACACTCTTATGAAGGTTTCACATGAAAAACACTGTGGTCCCTACATTCACCCATATTATCAATTCCCCCCATACCCCATTGAAGTCACTGTTGATCAGCATAGTAAGATGCCAAAGAGTCACTACTTATCTTCTCTGTGCTACACTGTCTTCCTTGAGACCCACCCCCTACACCATGTGTACCATTCATAATGCTCCTCAATCCCCTTCTCCCTCCCTCTCCACCCACCCTCCCCCACCCCTCCCCTTTGGTAACCGCTAGTCCCTTCTTGGAGTCTGTGAGTCTGCTGCTGTTTTGTTCCTTCAGTTTTCCTTTGCTGTTATGCTCCACAAATGAGGGAAATCATTTGGTATTTGTCTTTCTCCACCTGGCTTATTTCACTGAGCATAATACCCTCTAGATCCATCCATGTTCTTGCAAATAGTCAGATTTGTTTTCTTCTTATGGCTGAATAATATTCCATTGTGTATATGTACCACATCTTCTTTATCCATTCATCTATTGATGGACATTTAGGTTGCTTCCATATCTTGGCTATTGTAAATACTGCTGCAATAAACATAGGGGTGCATGTGTCTTTTTGAATATGAGATCTGTTTCCACTGGGTAAATTTCTAGGAGAAGAATTCCTGGGTCAAATGGTATTTCTATTTTTAGTGTTTTGAGGAACCTCCATATTACTTTCCACAATGAACTAATTTACATTTCCACTAGCAGTGTAGGACGGTTCCCCTTTCTCTGCATCCTCGCCAGCATTTGTTGTACCTTGTCTTTTGGATGTTGGCCATCCTTACTGGTGTGAAGTGATATCTCATTGTGGTTTTCATTTGCATTTCCCTGATAACTAGTGATGAGGAGCATGTTTTCACGTGCCTGTTGGCCATCTGAATTTCTTCTTGGGACAAGTTCAGATCCTCTGCCCATTTTTTAATAGGGTTATTTACTTTTTGGGGGTTGAGGCATGTGAATTCTTTGTAATTTTGGATGTTAACCCCTTGTTGGGTATGTCATTTAAAATATATTCTCCCATACTGCAGGATCCCTTTTTGTTCTACTGATGGTGTCCTTTGCTGTACAGAAGCTTTTTAGTTTGGTATACTCTCATTTGTTCATTTTTGCTTTTGTTTCCCTTGCCTGAGCAGATGTGTTCAGAAAAAAGTTGCTCATGTTTATACTCAAGAGATTTTTGCCTATGTCTTCTTCTGAGAGTTCTATGGTTTCATGACTTACATTCAGGTCTTTGATCCATTTTTA